ATTTATTTATTTATTTATTTATTTATTTATTTATTTATTTATTTATTATGTATACAGTGTTCTGTCTGCATGTATGCATGCAAGCCAGAAGAGGACATCGGATCTCACTCATTATAGATGGTTGTGATCTACCATCTGGTTGCGGGGAATTGAACTCAGAACCTTTGGAAGAGCAGACAGTTTCTTAACCTCCAAGCCATCTTTCCAGCCCATGTTACCTTCTTTCTAATAATCTGGTTATTGCAAGTATAGTAGAAAGAAGATGGTGTCTGGCATCAGACAGACCTTGGTTCTAATCTCAGCTCTGTTGTTAACAGTTTCATGACTGTGGATAAGTTATTTTAAGCCTCTGAGTCCCAGTTGCCTTGTCTGTAAAGGAAGGATTAAAATACCATCCTTTTTATTTATTGTGTGGATTAGATTCATTGAAATACAATGCCAAGCATTAAGCACAATGTGCCTATGAGGAGCTAATAGTCAAGATCCTTAATGAGGTGGTGTGGACAGAGTACAGGCTCTGGAGCCAGACTTCCTGGATGCTGATTGTCAGGTTACAGTATGTATAATTGTAGTAAATGTACAGTGTATGTAAAAATACAAGTCCATGTTGCTTAGCTTTGCTTTATATTCCTCTGTCAGATGAGAAAAGTAGCATCTATACCATAGCACTTTTGTCAGGATTGAATGAGTTCAGTGTGTACAGTACCTAGAGCAGGACCTGCTGCTGCTGAAGTAGCCTATGGCTTTTGCTTTTAACAAAACATGTGGCACTGAGTTGATGTCACACAGTAAGAAATTGGGAATCTTTGGCACTCTTAATATCTTAATATCTTAACTTTCGCACCTTCTAATGCTATCATAACTGTGGCATATCTCCCACTGTGTTCAGAGAAGCCAGTGCCTATCTGACTCTAGAATACACCTAATTTCTACTGTAGTACAGAAATTGATTTTGAAGCATTTTTTGCCTCATTCACTGGCTCTTGTTATCTTAGAGAGAGAAATCTCTGTCCCAGAAAGAAAACTTGTCTGTCAAGGATAAGTTGCTTCAGAATAGGAAAATAATTCATTGAAATAAGAGTGTTTATCACTCCTAAATTCACCTATTAACATTTATTGAGTGCCTTGTAGGTACTGTGTATTTTTCTAGGAATTTACACATATGATCCCCTTATATAAAAAATTATAAGGGAGATGGAGGTATTTTCATGTTTCTTTAAATAGGAGATTAAGGCCCATAAATAGACAGGCTCCAGAGCAGGTGGCTAGGAAGTAGCATGGATGGTTTTTAGATTCCTTACCCAGGTCACATTTGGCAGGGCTGTGTTACCTTTTCCTTGTTGATTCTGCTTTTGAGCATAAAAAGGCTTTGTTTTCTTTTCAGGAGTAGTATATACTACTTTGTTTGTAACTGTTGAGCCCTAAGCACTCTCCTTTAGTTACAGAATGGGCTGTTCATTTTTTTTTTCAAATAATTTATTTTATTTTATTATTTTATTTTATTTTATTTTATTTTATTTTATTTTATTTTATGTGAATAAGTGTGAAGGTGTCAGATCCCTTGGAATTGGTGTTACCGAAGAGTTGTGAGCTGCCATGTGGGTGCTGGGAATTGAACCCAGATCGTTTGAAAGAACAGACAGTGCTCTTAACCACTGCACCATGGCTCCAGTTCCTGGGCTGTTCATTTTTGAGATGTATTGCTGTAGTTTACTATCCAAACTCTGTCTTCCTTCAGGATCTATTCTGATAACATTTTAGAGAGGTCATTTGCCATCCTCTTCATTGTTGTGGGACCTGAGGTACATTGTAACACTGTGATTTTATTGTTGTTTTTGTTTTTCCAGACAGATTCTCTGTATAGCTTTGGTTGTCTTGGAACTTGCTCTGTACACCCACCTGGCCTTGAACTCAGAGATCCACCTGTCTCTGCCTCCTGAGTGCTAAGAATAAAGGTGTGTGCCACTGCCTGGCCATGTTGTGATTTTTTTTTTTTTTTTTAATCACAGGAATTTGAGGTAGTAGTAGAGGTTGAACCCAGGGTCTTGCTTATGGTAAGAATATTCTCTGCTACGGAGCTGAAAGAACCAAACCTGTCACTTAATAGGTGAAGAAACTGACTTGATTAACTGTGACTGATAAATTGAGAGATGGCATCACAAGCCATAGAGGCCACCTAGGCATGTCATTGTCCCACAACCATCTCTGTCAGGATTTTGGAAGTATGGCAAGTTTATGGTTAGATGAAGGGTAAAAAAGTGACTTAAGATATTAACTTAGGTAGGTCTCCAGGAGTTAGATAAAGGGAAGGAAGACTGCTGAGATCTCTGAGCTCATCATTTATATGATAGAGAATGAGACGGAAGAAAACTAACATGGAAACAGTTCTGCAAATACAGCCTGTGCATTTGAATGGAGGATTTAAATATCCTGGATCATGTAGGAGGATGCTTTGCTTTCCATTTTTGAGGTTGAGCTTTGACTTTGGGCTCACCCTAGTTTTTGCATAGAGATGTCCTTGTTACATTTTGTTCTTAGTTCCAGATTGTTTTACAGTCTGTTTTGACTTGTAAGAAGTAGTCTTGAGTGCATCTGTGGGCATCACTGAACTAACTCTGAATTCTCTAGTAGGTCAGTGTTTAGCCAGATACTAGAGCAGAGACTACACAGTAACAATATTAGGCATTCAACATACCTAACATGTATGTGCAAGAAGGAGCCAGATATAACATAAAAACAAGGAAAACATTACGGATTCTGAAGTGCAGCCTGACTAGGTTTGTACCTCGTGAGCAGTAGAACTGGACTCAAACTTGAGGTTGCGTGATGACTGAGTTGTTTGGGTTCTCTTGAAGTGATTAAACCTGCAGTCATGAGTCTGGTAGGCCAGTGAGAGGTTCTAGCTTGCTTGGACTTTTAAGTTGAGCTTTGATTTTACTCTTTGGTTTATATTCGATGGGCTTCTGTTCTGGAAATGAGGTGTGTAGAAAGCTGGTCTTAGGTGGCTAACGGCTCTAGGGAGGTATGCATACCTAAAAGCAACAAGATTCAAAAGTTCAAGGCTGGCCTGGGACACTCCGAAAGCCCTGTCTCAAAAAACTAAAATATGTAAAGTGTTGGAAGGGGAGGTGGGAGAGTATGTTAGGTCTGATGGAGCTTGAGTAAATAAAGTTATAATAACCCTATAGACTCCAGCATCTGCTGGGTACAAGTGGATTTTAATGTCTGGGTTTCTAAATAGCTTGGTACATTCAGAGTTTCGTTTCTAGTACCCTCATGCTAGTCTGTTTTCTAAGCTTTCATGCTGACTAGATGGAGTGTTTGAAAACTTTTATTTTAAAAATGCTGTTTTTAATTATTATTTTAAATTTATTATTTAAAATTGTTATTTTATGATCAGACTTGCAGTGAAAAAGCAATAAAAAAGTGAAAAATTAGCCCTTGGTACTACTCTGAATTCCCACCTGAGAAGAATAATTCTCTGAAGAAAATACTTAGAAGATATTTTTGTAACTTATTGAGTATTTTTGCAAACAAGATTTGCTTTTTTCTTCCTAAAAATATTTAGAGAAGTATTAAGTTTTGACAACTAGACACATTTATTGCAAATAATTTACAGAATTATCATTTTATGTAGAATGGCAAAACTAAGCCTTTTTGGTTTCTAAGTATAATTACTCTCATTTTGGTTTTGGTGAATCTTGGATCTGTAAATTCCTAAGTATAGCCCTCAGATTTACGACCTATTCTTTGCTTTTCTCATCCTTTCCTTCCTTGTTCATTTATTTTTCTTTATCTTTTATTCCTGAGATGTTTTTAAAATTATAAAATAATCCCAATGAGTCACCTTTCTTTTAGTTGCTGTATAGTACTTTATCAGATGGATATGATATATGTTCAGTAGACTATTGTGACATAGGCATATTCAGCTTGCCTCTTTTACTATATTAGAAAATAGTCTTGAATATGCTTAATACATAGTTTTTCTCTCATTATGTATAACTCCACTAAAATAAATTCATAGGATAGGAGTTCTGGGTCAAATGGGTTAAATATTTTTATGGCTTCTGGTATGTGTTGCCAAATCACTTTCCCTTTAAAGCCTTGTGTCAAATGGTGCTGCTTCAGGCAGCACTATGCCAGCTTGTGATGTCTGCTCTCCACATGGCTTTCTGCCTTCAGTCTTGCTCTCCTTGATCTGGCCTATGAGCTACTACCCAAAAGGCTCTTTGAGAATGTTGTTCATGATCTATCCTGGACCTCCCTGGTCATCTGTAGCCTACTGCCATTTCAGATGTAAAGTTTGAAATCCGTGCCTTTCTCTCCCGTGTCACCTGTTTCAGTTGGTTTGCATCCTTGTTTGAGTAGCCTCTTTGAGGGTTCCTTAAATGACCCTATCTCTATCTCTTAACTTCTTGTCTTCCCTTACACTCAAAGTGCCCACTTCCAACATTTTTATAGCTCATTTCATTTCAAAAACTGTTTCTGCAAAGCTGTAAAACAGAACTACCAAAACAATGCTGTCGTTCACATTTCATGACCTTATTTTGCGGTGGGTCACCAGTCCTGCTGGTTAGGGTAGACAGTGAGATCAACACGAAAAGTAGTAGAGAGAACAGAGGAATGGCTAGTTGGTTTGCCTGAGGAGACCTTTAGGTGGGATTCAGGAGAGCACTTGCTTCTGGTAAAATGTTATGAGAAAATCATAATTCTGTGCTCTTGGTTTTGTGACCACCACTCCTTATGCAAACAAGCCAGTTACTCTATCCATTCTCCTCTGCTTGGCTACAAAGTGGAAAGTGTACACTTTGGCCAGTCATTTCAGGGGAACTATGACACTCTCTGCCCTTCCAGTTAATTTTTCCTTAATAGCAGCAGCAGCAGCAGCAGCAGCATCCTAATATATACTGTTTGCCACTTGCCAGGTAGTGAGATGTTTTATGTGCCATAGCTATTGGAACCCTCACTGTCCCCTCTGAGCGAAGCATTACTTCATTTTCACAGGGGGAACCCAGGTACAATTTATTTGATCGAAGTCATAACTAGTAAGTGAGGGAGCCTCTTTTCCAAAGTATTGTCTTTCTCTGCAGTTTCTCTGATGATTTCTTAGGGAATGCAAAAAAGAAAACCCCCGCACACTGAAAAGCCTTTCCAACTCTCTGTCTAGTCTGTTTCCATTCTCATCTTCATTCAGGTGCCATCCCCTAATATGTGTCCCATTTTTCAGTCTCTCAGAGCTGCCAGCATCATATCACAAAGGTTCACACATGTACAGCAAACTCCTTGTTATCCTCCAAGTCCAGCTCAGATGTCCAGTGCCTCATGCTAAGCATTCCCCCTCTTTTTGGGTAATTGCTGTCTTAACTCTCTCTTCTCCCACTATTTCTGCCATACTCTTTTCATGTGGCTTTTTACATGTCTGTTTTAATTTAATAAGAATATTGAGATGAGAGCAATATTTTATATGAAAACTAGTTTGTATCTTTTGTTTAAATATCTTTAAAATATATATATTAAAATGACAATATTTCTTTTTTTCCCCCTTTAGCATAGGGCTACTTTCAAATTTGAATCAACAGATGAAGATAAAAGAAAGGTAAGGTTTGTGTGTGTGTGTGTGTGTGTGTGTGTGTGTGTGTGTGTGTGTGTGTGTGTTCCTCCTGGGTGGTCTGAGCAGTGGACTTGTTTTCGTCTGGTGGTGGTTAGTTAGTTTCTGGTCTCAGCTCAGTTTTTCAGGCGTCCTGAGAGGAAAGAGAGTGTTGTTTCAGATGGGTTGCATGCAACCCTTTCTATTCATCCCACATTCCACAGAGCACCCTGGGTTTACATAAGTGGAGGACTGATTCACATGAGATTATCACTACATTTTCTTATATTTTTGGTTGTGAGCCTAGCCTTTAATGGCTGAACCATCTCTCCAGCCCTCACTAGATTTTCTTACTGCTAAAATGTTGCCCTGTTAGGTGGCAGATTTCTAGGCTGAGCAAAGTGCCGGGCTCACGTAAGGCTGGGCTAAGCTTTTCCTGCTGCCATCCCCTCAGCCACGTGTTCTTCTCAGCACTGGATTCACTTATGTTGTTATACTTGTCTAGGCCACTAGCTTCATAGTCACAGAGGAGAATGGAAGCAAGAGACTCATACATGAAGGAGTTATTACAAGAGAGGGTGCATCAGAAGTTTGACTATTTAATGTATGCTTGCCTGTTGCCATTGCCTATAGCTGCATTACTTGGTGGGTAAAAGCATCGTGTTAATGAGGATAAGCCATTCCTGCCTATTGTATTTCTGGATTCTCTACCTCTAACCCAGCATCACAGATTCCAGGATCAGATAAGAGTATGGCTGAGTCAGGATGCAGTATCAGAGTCTTAGATGCCAGTAATGGATTGGTAACCTTACACATACCCATTTTCCTCTCTACATCCAGTATCTATGCCTGCTTCTCTTTCCCTCCTAAGGTTTATTCTCCATATTCAGACCTCCATCTGGATTACACTTTAGTATTTTGTTTGTTTGTTTTTATTCTTGTTTTTCTAAGGCAGGGTTTCTCTGTGTAGCCATGGCTGTGCTAAAACTTGCTCTGTACACCAGGCTGGCCTCAAACTCAGAGATCTGCCTGCTTCTGCCTCCCAAGTGCTGGGATTAAAGGTGTGTGCTGCCGCTGCCGCTCTGCCACCACCAAGCACTTCTTTAGTTCTTGAGCTGTCCTCCTTTCACTTTCTAGTGACATGTGGTTCTAGTTGATTGTCCATAAATCTAAGACAGCAGTCTAGTCATGTCTTTCTTAGCCTTAAAATATTTCTATGACTTCCTATGCTGACAGAATGACATAGTAGTGTCAGTGATCTGATCTCTGCATACTTCTCAGCCTGTTTTTTCTATTTCCCTTGTTTTGTGATGTAGTTTTAAATGTTTACAGTTACCCCTACAGACACACTCTTTATTTCCTCTCTTCTATTTTTCTAATTTACCTCCTCTCCTTTTTATCTTGTTAACTCCTCTTCATGATAAACCCTGAGGACTGCTGCTGATGGGTATTGTTACTCATCTCTCTTTGTCACATCTGCAGTGCTGAGCACATAGTGATACACAGGAAGTCTATTAAATGAATGCCATGGAGTATAAAGAAGGCTTACTTCTGGATTTGGGCAGTGTGAATAAGACAAGATATACCTTTTGGAGTAGAGATTTATTGAATGAATGTGCTTTTTGGGTAGCTTTAAAAACTCGCCTTCTTAGGAACAGCTGTTAGCTATTGCGTCAGAAGCTGGGAGTAGCCTGTATATATCTGTAGGTGATCTTCAGGAAATACGTACTCATACAGAATGGTATAATATCTATGGAGGAAAACTAGTACTTAGCTATTAAAATTAAGATGACTTTTGTCTGTTGATCACAGTATGTCACTTTTGGAGATCTGTTTTGTTTAGATTGAACCCAAGTGAGCAAATTTTTTTTGTCAAAACATACTTGAACAGCAAAAGATTGGAAACAACCAATTAGGTATATTGGGAAGAAACAATGGCCCATAGACATAATAGAGTACTATGAGGTAGTGATAAGAGAAAAATTCTATTATGTGTTATTGAAAAAAAACCAAGTAAGGTATTAAAGCAGAGCGTATTGAATGACAGACTCATGATAGAAATTCAAGCTAAGAAGGCAGCTACTGTGAATTTGATTGGGAGAGCCCGTCCTCCACTTATAATATTTGTACTATATTAGGGGTCAAACTGTGGAATCTTTGGTAGTACTTCTATTCATCATAACAAGTACATTAAGAGCAGGAGAGATCACCCAGTCAGTGAACTGCTTCCTTCACACTCAGGACTGGAGTTCAGTCCGGAGAACCAATGGAAAAATTCCTGGCCCAGTGACATGTGTAATGCCTGCACTGGAAAGAGAGAGACTGCAGGATACATGCATACACACACATACTTAAAACTGCTGTACATGTATGCACATGCATAATGTACATACAAAGCTAAAGCCAGATGCTTTGCCTCATGAATGATTGTGGGAGGAGAATTTTCCTGTGTTAATTATACATGTGTGTTTTCTGTAGGGAAGTAGAAAATGTGACATATTTTAACCATTTTCTATGGGTTTGATTCCAGCAGCATTCCTCTGATTCACATGCAGCCCCCCAGATAGGCAACTTCCTCATATTCCCAGTATTTGCATATAAGGACACAACTTCCCATATATTTTAAGTTGCTGCTAGATTACTTATAATGCCTGTTGTGATGTGAGTGCTATATAACGTTACACCGCATTGTAAGTAATGATGAAAACATCCCTATGTGTTCAGTGCAGAGACAGTTTTTTCCCTAATTGTTTTGATCCAGAGATTGTTTGAATCTGTTGGTGTGGAGATTGCCCTCTGCTACTTTTAGATCTCTGGAGAGAGAAACTTCTGCACTAGTGTTTACTTCAGTTTGTGTGTAGGTATCTGCTTCATAGGAGGTGTGTTATAAACAAGTGTCATTAGGGACCTAGCTAGGTAAGCTTCATTAACAGAAAACATTGGCAAACAAATCATTTCAGTCTCCAAGGGTTAAAACCATTAGTGACACTTTGGTGCCTGTGGTGCCTTTCAGACACGGATAGGGAAACTGTGGGACAGCCCCAGGCTAACAGCAGTAGACCATCTCTGCATGGAGCCCAGCAAGAAAATATAAGGAATCAAATTACTGTAGGCTTTCTCTCACTGTCCTTGTACTGTCCTAGATGCATCTAGAGACCTGTAAAGGGTTGCTGGATTCGGGAGGTTGGGGGCCACTGGTCAAGAGCTTCTGTCAGGTGCTACTTGGTAACAACAATTCAAGACCTCCTTCACTTTCTTAAAGTGCAGTGCTGTGCTAAAGAACACCAAAATCCACCCATACTAATAGATACATAAAAGTCTCTGTGACATCCTAGGATAGTGTAAGGGGGAGTGCCTTCCAAAATAAAACGTCATAATGTTGACTTTCTGTATGTGATGATAAATGAATGAGCTCTAAGATCTGATTGTGGTTTTAAATTTTACAAAGGTTTGCTCCTCCCCTCTAGTGCCATTAAGTGTGGTGAGAATTTTACAGTGAGAAACCGGCTTTATGCTTGCACTGCTGGAATGTGGTGAAGTTTCCCATAGAAAAGCTTTTCCGTTGTGTGTAGTTGGTCAGTGCTCACTGCTCTGTTGCCCTATCTCATTAATCTCTTGAAGTATATTTTGGAATACTTGAAATTATGATCCCATACCTTGTTTTATCTCTTATTTCATCACCTTTGAGTCCATTTAAGAACCAAGTTTAAGTTGGGAGCTAGCCAAGGAGATGTGTGTGTGTGTGTGTGTGTGTGTGTGTGTGTGTGCGCGCACACTTAGGAATAAAGTCAGGTGTGATTCTAATGGTTGTGCATATGATGCAAATTGTGACAGGTGTGTGTGTGAATCATTGCAGATTTGGATAGAAGCACCTGCTCCTGCTTTACATCCTTCACCTAAAAGGATAGACTGTGGTTACCTGGCAGTACATACACAAATGCATTATGCAAATGTGTGGGTTGGGGAACTCGAATTATGAATTGTCCAGAAACCCACATCTTGAGACAGTGAAAACTCTTTCTTTGGTTTTTAACACAGAACTTCTCTCAAAAACCAGTAAAGAGTAACTCAGTAAAAGTTAAAAAACGGTATGTCATAAAATGAATAAGGCTGGATTGTAGCTCAGGGGACACAGTTGGCCTAGCATGTGAGGCTCTGGGAGTGGGGAGAGGAGTTACATGTTTGAAGCTCCTTGACCTGTAACCAGGAATATAGCATTGCCACCTGTGGAAACCTTCAGTTGTCTGTGATAACTGTATATAAAAGATCATTTTTCCTCAGAAGAATGAGCACTAACAGTGTCTTACTACAGGTGTATTTTTATAACTTCATATCTTTTCTCCTAAGCCGTAGGGTAGCTGCAGAACTGAAATTGTGAGTGCTTTAGGAGACAAGAAGCACGGATTGCTTATCTTGGGTGCCTCCCACCACTGCGTGCAGCTGAATAGGAACCTACAGTAATGCCAGTAAGAGGGAAAGCAACGAGGAAGTTGAGTGGAGACTAGAATTCCTGTGACGAGAACATATTGTGCAGTTTTGTGTTGTATATTCTTTTAGTTATATATCAGAATTGCAAAATTAAACTCAAAATGTTGTTCACTGAGGAAGAAGGATACAAAAGCCTATTTGAAGAGGAATCACAGCTGTGCATTTCTGATAAGAACAACACAGAAAAATGCGCAAGGAAATCTAAACGTTGCTACTTAAATCTTACTGCTGTGGAATAGGCTTTTTTCTTTTGTAAACTTTTAGATTATAATAGATTGCACTGATTTAAGAACGTAATTATATAATAACATAATTTAATACAAAATGGTATTTTAGGATGATGTGATTGGGGATGTAAACAGAAAGCAGTGCTTTCCTTTTTTTAACTGTATTTTTTTCTAAAATTGAACTTTCTTGGTTACCTTATTAAATTAGAGTAGTATTAATTACAAAGCCAGTTTATATAGTGAAATAAATGTATATGAACGCAAAAGTCCATTTTGTTATTCAGGTCTTCATTT